TAATCCTAGCTTATTTTGTGATATCATGTCTATGAGAATAATCATTATTAAAATTTAAAATATATAATTATTTTACTTATATCAGCCTAATATCAGCCTAATATTATTAGATTAAACAGCTGTTTCACAAAAGGATTGATCTTTATGTGAAACTATTTCAGCTTAAAAATAAGCAAATAATTGAACACTGCTATGAGGATAACATCGATGATACTGGTAAACCTTCAGATGATTGCTCAAATTAGGTATTATCCGATGAAGCCCTAAAAAAGTATAATTTAACTGCAAAAGATTTTGATGCTGATTATTTAACTAGTGACGAAGACCCAAGAAAAAAGAAAAAAAAGGTAAGCGAAAAGGGTAAAAAAATGAAAGGAGAAGGTAGTGAGAAAAAAAAAGAAAAAGATATAGATAGAGCGGGAGATATTGGAAAGAAAAAAGATAGGGTGAGAGATATTGGGTAAGAAAAAGCTAGAGCGGGAGATATTAGAAAAGAAAAAGCTAGGGTAGGAGATATTGGAAAAGGACAATATAGTGCAGGAACGAAAAGAAAAGGTAGCTATGCAGATGATGATGATAGTAATAATGATAGAGTAGTACTGTGAAAATGACAAAAGAAAAAAATAGAAAAGAAACAAAAGAAAAAAATAGAAGAGGCTGAAGAAAGTAAAGAAGAAACTACTTCAGATGATTTGCTCTTTGAACATGAGGCAACCTTAAGTGAACTATTAACAGCTAAAGTAGCAACAAAAACAGCAGCAACAAAAACAGTAGCAGCAACAACAGCAATAGCAAAAATAGCAGTAAAAAAAATAGCAGCAACAAAAACAGCAGCAACAAAAACAGCAGCAACAAAAACAGCAACAGCAAAAACAGCAGAAGCAACAATAGTAGCAACAAAAACAGTAACAGCAAAAACAGCAATAGCAAAAACAGCAACAGCAAAAACAATAGAGGCAACAACAGGAAAAAGTGCTGACAAACCAATAGAGATAGTAACACTAGCATCAAGTCCATTAAGGGATAAATCACCCTTAATAGGACCTAGTGAACTATCAACATCAAAAAAGGTAGCTGATAGAACTAAAAATAAACCAACCAAAAAAAATATTTGAAGAAAATGATCCATTAATATTCAAGGTGAAAGAAGTTAAAAGTGAAGAAGTTAAAGATAAATAAAGTAGAAAAGAAGGTGGAGAAGAAGGTGGAGAAGAAGATGGAGAAGAAGGTGAAGAAGAAGATAGAGAAAAAGGTAGAGAAGAAGGTGGAGAAGAAGGCGGAGAAGAAGGTGAAGATAAAGGAAAAAAGAAGAGAAAAAAGAGAGATAATAGTAATAAGAAGTCAAAGAGGAAGACGAAAAAGAGGCGATAGTTTATAAATATATAATTTTTATTTTACTTTATATATTTTAGGTAATAACTAGAGAATAAATAATATTAGCTATATATCACTATAAGTAAAAAAAAAAAAAAATAAAGTAATCGTTAGAGTGATAATTTAGTGAATATAAATATCAAATAAAATATAATTAATGATC